GAAGTCAGGTAAAGGGCTAATGATAACTATCAAAACGCCTAGCATTTGAAATAAATAAATAAATTTAAGAAAGAAATTGCTGATATTAATTCGCACTTATCTCTAATCCAAAGAAAATAAATAGATCGTAAGGAATACATAGAAAATGCTAAAATTCACATATCACGTTTTACAAATTACATATTTTAATTTCGCCTTTGATTTAATAGTTTTATTTTTTCCAATAATCGTAATTAATATAAACATCCAAAAATAAGATATCGAAAAAAATTTTTGAACTGTCTAGGATATGCCTTAGTCAGAATTTCCACTTCAAGCATTTCGTTATATACCTTTTTTTTCATATATTTGAAAAGAAATCATTTGCATCAGGAATATTGAATATTAGTAATAACTTTTAATACATAACGCTTTGGCAATTACAAATTATTTTGGTTGTTAAATATATTTTCCGCTCCTTGATAATACTGTTGACCAAGCATATGTCTTTCAATTTTTTCATTGATTTTATGAATCTATATATCTTATTGCCTTGTCTTCGGGAAAAAATCAATGACGTTATATTAATGCTAAATAAAGAAAGAATTAATAAGCGCAATAGAGTATGTTTCGGAAATCAAATCGACTATCATCGATGCCCTTAATCCAGAGCATTAAGAGCGCAAGCGTAACTTCACACATCATATCTTGAATAAACGATTTCTTGTCTTCTACAATTAAGCCTTGAAATGTAAGATTACCAGTGAAGAAATCTTAGAGACCAATATAGACCAAAGTCTAATTGCCTTGAGCTATAAGTAATATTGCTATCACTTCATAGAATCTGATCAGTTGTATATTTACATAGTAGACAGAAGAGATAGAACTTAATTTTTATTTATATCAAATGGGAGGAGTTTTGATAGTTATTATAAGCCCTTTAGTTGATTTCAGGCTTCATGGAAGGGAAGGAACATCAAAGTAAAAAAAGTTAGAAGAGGGGGGGGGGAACAGAAGTGTGCTTCAAAGATGTAAACGAGACAGACACAGAGGTAGAAAAAAGGTGAGGTGAGTACTGTGGAAGAAGTCGAATATGACATACAGTGGGGGTGATGGTTGTTTGAAGTTAGAAGTCAACTTCCGGCCAATAGACTTTTTGCCGTATGAGTATACGTTGCCCAGGGTGCACCACTTGGAGGTGTCTATCGCACACCAATAGTAGACAGCAGCGATAGAACTAAACAATATGAAATATCTATTCCACTTGGTTATTAAATATAACTTCCAATGTGCCAGATTGATGGTTTCATTGTTCCTAAGATGGATTATGGAACGAAATGCGAGCTATCATTGATGGTGATATTTTAAATGGAAGTTCAATAGTAGTGTGATTTGAAACGAAGCTAATTAATTCGATGTGATTCCTTTATTATGAGAAAAGGATACAATCACTTAATCTTTTAGAATATGCATACAATTGTTTTCGCAAATAAATATCTGCAATATATTTACAACTAACTTTCTGGTTTATTCTCTACCATCAGCAACTACAATTTTCAACAATACAGCCCTTCATTCCGAGTATTTTCCCTATTCAGGGCCCATGGTATCAAAAACTATCTAATATTTATTGAAAAGATAAGTTATATTTTAATCAATGGAAACTATTTATATTCTATAATTTTTTCATTTCAGATGGCAGGCTTTATGATGTTCATCATTAGCCCTTTAGTTGACTTGAGGGTTCACAGAGGGAAGGAACATCTAAGTGGGAAAAAAGTCGTGAGAAGGAACAAAAGAATGCTTCACAAATATGAGAGTGACAGACTGACGGAGGCAGAGAAAAGGTAAGGTGGAAGTAGTCGAATATGACATACAGTGGGGTCATGGTAGTTTGAAGTGAGGAGTCAACTGCCGGTTTATAGACTTTTTTGTCGTATGTGTATACGTTGCCAATAGTGTTCCACGTGAAGATAAGATTATTACACTCTCCTCTTCTAAAAATCAGCATTGGCTTTTGATAACAATTTGCTCCTTCCAACGGATCCATGGAGAATATGTCAAGAAATGCCAGCCAGGTTTACAAATACCCCAAGACTAAAACGACAAACTTTGAAGGACAATGCGCTACCAGACAATTGAGTCAACAAATGAATCTGATCTGCGTAATTTTTAGAAATTGCAAATTAAACCTACCTTAAAATTGCCATTCTTACCCTTCAAGCAACAAACAATGCCATAAATCCACTAACTTTGATCTTAAAATTATTTAGTGAGTTTGAATTGCTTTTCCCCTTGTTCGAATCCCATTATTGGCACAGAATCCCTTCCAAATTTCTCTTAGATACTTTTTCCTTGAAAATGTCACCAATTTCTACGTTGTCCATGCTACAGGTATTGATGACCCAACCAGGAGACATGCCTTTATACCGCTCAGTAATTCCTTCTCTAATTTGACTTAAGGGAGAATGTGAACACTTGGCATCTTAGGGAATTCTTCAAACTTCAATTTGTACATAAAATTCTCTTTGAAAATGGTTGTGAATGAAGACGATGGCTTGAGATCATGTGGAGATTATTGTGTTCTCGACCAAACTGCTGCCACTGATAACTTTTCTATACCTAATATGCACGATTTCTCTTTTCAGCTATAAATAAAATCAATTTCTCGAAACTGGATTTTGTCCGAGATTATTGTTAGGAAGATATTGGAAAATCAACCGTGTTCACACCCTTGTGTTTTTGAGTACCTGAGTATGTCCTTTGATCCTCGTAGCGCAGCTCAGTCTTCTTAATAATTTATAAAACACTTAGCCAGTGACGAAGATTTCGTCTTTGGTCATACTAATGCTGTTCATATTGCCAGCTCTAACTCTGCGGTACACAAACAGGATCTTTGACAAGTATTAAGACATCTCGAGAAATACGGAAGTAAGCATTTGATCAATCTAAAATTGATTTCTTTAGCCACTACCTTGGTAAAGATCTGGCAAAAAGTAGCATTTTACCATGATGTTAGAATTAGAATAAGTGTTTCCTGCGGCAAAACAGGACTTAATCAAAAGAAACCAGGTTAACTTCTCCCCATATTTCCGATTGGGAATGAGCTTAATGGAGTTATGGGGCCGAAATGCTATCGGAATTTTGGATAGTTATATTCTGTGGCCCTTCTATAATTTACGGGATAAGGGATTACTGTACATCTCTTTTCTGTTTCAAAAGTAAGCCATCTTTTAGGTTTATGTTCATATTTCAGTTGTCAATGGTCATTGTAAAAAGTTCCAACAGACAGTTATAATTTTCTTCAAAATAATTGTTGCCGAAAACCTCCCAAACACATCATTTGTTATTGGGAACTTCATTAAGCAAGACCTTGCCTGATGTTCTACGAATTCAACTTCAGAACAGCTCTTGGAAAAACCTGCTCAAAAAGTACCCCCCCCCGTTTGAGGACATGAAGACTGATTGCTTTTCTAATTTCAGGTAAACCATGGAAGAAGAGTTTTTCAGTCCCACTATGGTGGCCCTTTTAAAGATTTTGAACCCTTACAAAAATGCTTGATATTCTTGCCTAAACATACTTATGAGAGAGAAAGCATCGAGAGAATGAAGCGGGCCTACTTAGACTTCAACTTCATTAACTCCTACGATAAAACTCATCTTGAACACCCTGACCATTTTCCTATTGATTTTGACGATTCCTCCCACAAAGGTTTATTTATTTCAAATGGCAGGCTTTATGATATTTATCATTAGCCCTTAATCTTTGACTTCAGCTTCCCCCAAGAGGAAGGGTGGGGGGTACATTTATAGCAGTTAATTAATAGCTATTCATTAGCTGTCTTCTTACTTCCCAGTATCTCTGGCTTTCCGTCCTTGTCTTTAGGGCTGGACACCGAATCAGGTGGGTCTTCTCCATTTCTTCCTGTAGGTTACATAGAGGGCATGTGGGTTGAGTGTATACTCCTAATCTGTGAAGGTGTTTTGTCAAGCAATCGTGTCAGGTACGTAGTCTAAACTCAGCAACGGCTTCGATTCTTGGCCAGTCGGGTATGTCGGAGATTGCCACTGTCCACTGTTTCTCCTTTGTTCGAGCTTTAATTTCGTTGCACCTTGAGGTATGGAATTCTCTTCTGATTAAAACCTTGATTTTGTGGAAAGACATCGGCCGGTCCATGCATTACAACATCGTTGTCCCCTTCTTAGCAAGTGTGTCAGCAAGCTCATTGCCTTTAATGCCTCAGTGACCAGGAATCCATTGTAGGATCACTGTTTTGTTTTTCTCTCTCAGCAGCTGATAGAGCTTTCTACATTCCATTATCTCAGCTGTTTTGGGTGTCTCTCTGTTTCCAATAGAGTCTATTGCTGACTGTGAGTCCGAAAGTATCACCACTTTGGTGAATTTCGTATCCAGGCAACATAATTGGCATAGTGCTATCCTAATTGCCTCTATTTCTCCTTCGAATGCGGATCTATTGTGTCCCACTGCTGCGTAGAAAGAGAAGAGTTCAGAAAAGACACCTGCACAAATGTTTGCTTGGTGTCTGCTAATGGGTTCATGGGGGGAGAGAGGCTTTTTGGCTTGTCATCGATTTATAATTCTTTCCTTTGTTCTATGGCTTTCTGTATTAGACCAGATTGCGTTTTCGGATGTCTTGGTCTATTCTCATAGGTGCAGAAGAACTTATCCAAGGGAAATGCGCAGTAGTTTCTCATACAAGATCAAGGCCTTTTCTTTGATAAGGGAACACATTGTGGTGCTTCCTGTAACTTGGAGCATTGCATCAATAGATGTTGATTTTATCCCTCCAGTAATTAGTCGTAATGCTTGGTTGTATGCCTTCTCGAGTGGTTTGAGAGTCACCTCTGTGGCTGTAATGAGTGGCTCACAGCAATACAACATTATTGTCTGAATAAACATCTTGTAAGTGGTGTTTAGAGTTGAGCGTGCACAGCCCCATACGCTACCAGCAAGACGCTTCAGTTCATTCAGTCTATTGGAGACGCGTTCTGCTATTTTAGCAATGTGACTTTTCCACGTTAGCTTTGTGTCAAAAGTCATTCCGAGATATGTAAATTCATTGGTTTTTTCTATGGTAGTATCCTTGTACCTTAAAAGCGGGTTTATGCTGTGATGGGCCAAAGAAAATGTTTGGAATGTAGTTTTCGCGGTGTTGATTACCNGATAAGGGAGCATATTGTGGTGCTTCCTGTTACTAGGAGCATTGGATCAATAGGTGTTGCTACTATCTTCTGTAACTTGGAGCATTGCATCAATGGGTGTTGATTTTATTCCTCCCAGTAATAAGTCGTAATGCTTGGTTGTGTGCCTTCTCGAGTGAAATTAGTCGTAATGCTTGGTTGTGTGCCTTCTCGAGGCGTTTGAGAGTCACCTCTGTGGCTGTAATGAGTGGCTCAGAACAATAACTCTGTGGCTGTACGAGGGGTTTGAGAGTCACCTCTGTGGCTGTTATGAGTGGTCTCCAAACATACAACATTATTGTTGAATAAACAATCTTGTAAGTGGTGTTGAGAGTTGAGCGTGCACAGCCCCATAGGTGTAAGTGGTGTTTAGAGTTGAGCGCGCACAGCCCCATACGCTACCAGCAAGACGCTTTATGTTGAATAAACAATCTTGTAAGTGGTGTTTAGAGTTGAGCGCACAGCCCCATACGCTACCAGCAAGACGCTTCAGTTACATTCAGTCTATTGGAGACGCGTTCTGCTATTTTAGCCGCACATTCAGTCTATTGGAGACTCGTTCTGCTATTTTAGCAACCGTTCAGTCTATTGGAGACTCGTTCTGCTATTTTAGCAATGTTCTTTTCCACGTTAGCTTTGTGTCAAACGTCATTCCGAGATTTCCGTTTTCCACGTTAGCTTTGTGTCAAACGTCATTCCGAGATAAGTAAACTTTAGCTTTGTGTCAAAAGTCATTCCGAGATATGTGAACTCATCTGTCAAACGTCATTCCGAGATAAGTGAACTCATTGGTTTTCGATTTTAGCAATGTGACTTTTCCACGTTAGCTTTGTGTCAAGTTCCGAGATATGTGAACTCATTGGTTTTTTCTAGGGTAATGGTACCTTAGAAGCGGGTTTATGCTCTGATGGGCCAAAGAAGAATTTGGAATGTGCGGGTTTATGCTAAGACGAGGGAGAGGAAATGTTTGGAATGCAGTAGCGGTGTTGATTACCATTCCATTGTTGTCACACCAGTTTGCTTGTAGTTTAAGTGCACAATTTAAGGCGCTTTCTGCCTCTCCTGAGCGTTTTTCTTAGGTGCGGAATAACATAGAACAAGATCATCTGCATTAAGTAAGCACTTGATGTCCGTGACTGTCTGNGGAATAGTTTTCTTTGCACATCTGATCATAATATTCGTGATAGCAGTGCAAAGTTTGTCAGGATGTTGGTTGAAGTTGAGGGGACTTGAATGAAGTTCATCCTCTAAAAGGTTAGTGAATCTAGGCCAGTCAGCCTTCTTGAAGTTCCATGATAGCTTAGTTGGCACTTTCCTTGACATGCTTTTGCTGCCGAAGGTAATACTAGCAATGACTGGTTTGTGACCAGAACTAGGATCGTCAATTATTTTGCGGTGTGTATGCTCACTGATGTCGCTTGAAGCCAAGAGTAAATCAGGAGTTGTTCTGGATCCATTGTAGTGCAAATATGTAGCCGGATCCTCATTGCTGTAAATAAGTTCCAGAGGGTTGCTGTTTAGCATGTCTTCAATTTCCTTTCAAGCTATGTTTGTATCCTTGTAGCCCCATCTGGTGGAATGGGCGTTGAAATCTCCACAAAGATTTGGCACATTCTCTCATTATGCAGCCTCATTCTTTACTGTAAAAATGGTCTATCCTAGCATATCACCACCTCGACTACTTCAACTCAAGCTTTCTTACTCTCTTTGAGTTCGAAGGGTTTTTGGCCATTCTGGACTTGTTGAATGTACAGAGTGACTTACCATAAAACGTTTATTCTACATTTCGGATACTTGGCAATACTCTCGAGTTGAAGCATTGTGGAAGTCGAAGGAATCGCACTCGCTCTGGAACATTCTGGAAAGTAAAATCGTAGGCGCATAAACCTCTCAGACTTTAGGCAGTCGATTTTATGTAACGTTGCATAATAGTAATAATATTATTATTATGTCAAATGACGGGCGTTTTGATAGTTATCATTTCCCTTTGGGTGACCTCAGGCTTCACAGAAGGAAAGAAACATCAAAATGGAAAACAGTCGAGAGCGAGGGGGGGGGGGAAGAACAGAAGAACGTTTCAAAGATGTAAAAGAGACAGACACAAGGGTAGAAAAAAGATGAGGTGAGTACTGTGGAAATGATCGAATATGGCATACAGTGGGGTCATGGTAGTTTAAAGTCAGAAGTCAACGGTCGGTTAATAGACCTGTTGCCGTATGAGTATACGTTGCCCAGGGTGCACCACGTGGAGGTAAGTCTATCGCATACCCCATTTTACATAATATTAATTATATTTAATCGTCAAGTTTGTTATCACTTGGCCATATTTTTAATTAAACCCACACAATCTAGAACCAAAATACTCACGTCACTGTTGATGTAGCTCATTTAATTTGTTTGCAATTTTATTCAAAAATATTTTTACAGAGGTTTAATGCATTGCTTTGGAACTAGTCAACATTCTAAGCGAATTGTCAGTGTCTTATCAAGAATAGTTGGTGTTATTTCTGCACAAATTTGGCGTCATGAAGTCAAACTTGGTCTTCGATTAACAGATCTCATTTCTGTCAATGAAAAATAAAATTAACAACTTACCTATTTGGCTCTCAATATCTAAGAGAAATTGGTTTTGGGTTTTGATAAAAATCTGCTCATAAGCATTCTGGGAATTTATTATCGTTTTTTTTAAATAAACAAAGTCATTATGATTATTGGCTTAACATGCTAAGCGTCCTATGAAACAAATACTATGTTCGTACAGCGGCTCATAATTTAGAGAAGAAATTGAAACAAAATTGCTTAAATGCATAAGGCAAGCGTGCAAGTACTTTCAAAAACGTTGAGTAGTAGGTTATATATGCACTGTCGTACAATTCTAGTTGGTAAAAAGCTAAATATTTGACAATTTTGCGCAAATTTATCATTGTACCTTATTGATAACATGGAAAACGAACTGAAATTTAAAACAAGGAAGTCAAATGCTATTTGAGTTAACTAGTAATTACTTTTTTAAAATTATTTCGACAAATTGAAAGGAATGATTTTCAAGGAAGACAGGTTTGATTCAGCTATCATTATTTAAGAATGGAAGAGAATTCCAAAATGAACACTGTTGATCAAAAAAGCATAAATTTTTTTTTCTTTTAAAACACAGGAATGGGGGGGGGGAGTTGTTTATCATTTTGATACGTTTGAATTATTGATCAATTCTTAAGATAGACGAACTTGCTATTCCTATCGTGTTTCATCTGAACCTAATATTTAAGATATTTTTATTTACACTCTATACTTCAGTATTTTGTTGCTTCTACATAGCGTTCGCTTTTGCAAGAAGATTCAATTAGCACGTCTCTTATTTACTTTATAAAACGTTGTTAATTTTCTTGCCTATACAAGATATAGGCATTTTATAAAACAAGAATTTTCAAGTGATCAATATTTGGAATGTGGGGTGTGCGGTAGACTTACCTCCATGTAAACTCATTCGACAAAAAAGTCTATTAACTGGCAGTTGACCTCTGACTTCAAACTTCCATAACCCCACTGTATGTCATATTCGACCCCTTCCACAGTACTCATCTAGCCTTTTCTCTGCCTTTGTGTCTGTCTGTCTCTTTTACATCTGTGAAACGCTCTTCATTTCCCTTGTCAAATTTTTCTCAATTAAATATTCTTCCCCTCTGTGAAGCCCGAAGTCAACTAAAGGGCTAATGATAACTATCAAAATGCCTGCCATTTGAAATAAATAAGTAAATATTTGGAATGTCTTATTGAAACAAAATCCAATCTTAAAACCTTAATGACGTGATTAATCTTGGCAGCACATGGTATAACGCAGTTAACATTAAAGCTACCATTTTTAGAGGCATAAAACGCCATATTGAGGGCCAGTGTTTGATGACTCCATGAATTCAAATAACGTTTAATGACCAGAGTCTCAGCGCCGAACTTACATCTGAATGTGCCAACTAGTTTAATAATGTGGACAACAGGACTGATGCACTTATTGGTTACAAAATATATATATGTATATATTAATCCAGGTAACAGCACTTCTGTTATGCACGAAATATTTTAGCAAAAGTACAATCGTTCGCTTTCTCTATTTAAAAATCTTTTAATACTAAACTAAATAATTATTGTTATTAAAGTACACTGAGTTAAATAGGAATTCTCACAAGATGAGTTAATTTCTGTAACTAAGGTTAAAACACTTGTGAGAAAATGTTTTTAATTTCTGAGAAGAAGATTTAAACAAAAAAGTTTCAATTACAATGGCACTCAGACACTTAAAAAAGTCCTTTGATTAATAGAGTGAATTAAAGTAGCCTGTTCAGTTATTTTAGTAAATTTAAATTAAAATTAAGCTTGGATTAGAAATTTCCTAGATTTAATTATGAAAATATGCCTTAAAAATTTAAAAATTATGACAAGTTTTGCCTTTAATGGATATTACAATAGCTCAGAAACTTTGGAACATCAATAAATTTATATTCTTTGTAATTAACTTTATGGATAAGGCCGTTATTTAAGACATGTTCCTTCCAGAATGATTTACAGTTTCCAATACCATACATTATGTATCAATAATAATAAGATGCGTAATTATATTAATGCAACGAAAACCATAATTTGGAAAGAGTGTGTGTTTTATTTGACGGGGTTAGCGGAAAACAATTGGTAAATACTTGAAAATGCACCAATCATATTAGTTGTTTAATACTATTATGAACACGATTAAGAAACCTCACATTTATTAATGAAATTAATATTCGTTTCAATTGATTACCTACCATTATCATAATTAATTTTCCAATTTTAGCACTTATTTGACAATTGACGAGAGCTAAGTTTGAGATATGGCATTTCCATAAAAGGGAGATAAAAAATCACCTTTGCATGCCATATTTTTCAGGAATGTCAATATATGAATCAGTGAATAGTTTTTTTTCAAGCCTCACAATAAAACACTATAGGACACGTTATCGCTGTGCGCGTCATCGTATGCCTGCATATCTGCTCGCCAGGATTGGGAGGTGCGCCGTACAACTCTGTGTGCAGCGACCGTACAAACAGTGACCAATCATCAACCTCTGTTTAATCTAATCCCCCATCCTGATCATGAGTAGCTCCCTGCATGTACACTTTATCCGTAATATACTCACTGAATAAATGTGCTCCGTGCTACACGTCTGTTTCCTTGATAGCTGGGCTATAGCTTAGTTGGTTCTGGGAGTATAGCTAGATGTAGGAGGATCTGCCATAGAGATTTCTGAGTCAGTCAGGCTTCAATAAAGTGACAATCCGCTACAACACAAGTAATTGGACTACTTTTCACCATTGAAGTTCGTCAAATGGAGAAATTAAACTCTGCCTTAATGATTTATTTCCTTTTACTAAATAAAAGCAAGTGATCAGGAGGTACCATCAAGACATTATATTAAAAGTCAGTTGGTATACACGAGTAAGCAAATGTGAATAAGTAAAATGGCAGTGTCTTGGGTATGCACACATTGATGTACGCATACTGCCATTTCGATATTGAAAGTATCTTCAAGTAAAAGAACTTTACAGTCCTGAATGCCTGCACAAACTGTCATAAATCTATCTGCCATTAGGGTAAATGGGTATAAATTTTAGGTGACTAAGCAAGTTCTCGTATTTTCTACAATAATGGAGATGAGTCCTTGGGGGCATTGTTTATTGAAATCAAGATAATGCAGAATTTATTGAAGTTTCTTTTTTTATTTTATTAGAGCATTTCTAATGAAAATTGGACATTGCCTAATCATTTATATAAATGAACCTTTATTGACATAACATAGTTAGTGCCTATTCAAAAGACAATGTTCTGTCGCCATTTGCAAACAAATGTTCAGCCCGATGTTCTCCTGTCTTTTATGTGAAGTTATTAAAAATTATTGATATGCCTAATTATGCAATAACTAAGATGTCTAAGCATCCAATCTTCTTTCTGAAAAATTATTATTATTATTATTTCAAATGGCAGGCTTTAT